TATTGCCTTTTGATACCCCATAAAAGTTTTTGGGCTGGGGCGTGTGAAGTCGTGGAGCTCCTGTGGCTCAACGTTGTAGAGCTGCATACAACCGAAAGAGAGCAAAAACATCCGACAAGCAAGACGGAGCTCTAGGCGGTCTGATATGGTGTGAAAGCGTGTTTGTATTACCTATATGGCGCATTATTCCTCAATCCCTGACGTACCTGACGAATTCTTTTTAAGACTATTAGAACGCTTGTTCTCTTGCTTTTATCTAGGACAAAGGCGAGCTGCAATGTAGGTAAAGATTTACAGTTAGAGTTTCCCAAATGCAGCTGACCTCCTTCCCCTGTCCTTAGGCGTCTTGGCTGTTGATCTCAGGGCCTGAGCGTTGCGGGGAGGAGGCAGCCAGAAATTGGGTTGCAGCGCACCCCGCTGAGGCTGGTAGTACAAGCCAGCCCCACGCGTGCACTGAAGGAAGCTTCGGCGAAACTTCGTTTGGTGCATGCTTTACCTCTGAATGTACTTGTAGAACGTTTGCAAGCGTGTACACGCAGCACACCNTTCGTTTGGTGCATGCTTTACCTCTGAATGTACTTGTAGAACGTTTGCAAGCGTGTACACGCAGCACACCAAAGCCAAGTGAAAGCTTCTACGATAACTCATGCTACATCTGCCCCATCAGCGAAAAGGCGCACGCACTCGTGCGCAGGTGGCCATGTTGAACGTGGTGGATTGCTGCTGGAGCAGCGGCTCGTGGCGCTGCTGCGTCTCGGGATTCGGGTCCGGATGCTGCTGCTACGGCTGCTGCTGCTACGGCTGCTGCTGCTCGCCTCGCAGATGCCCTTCTTGGAGATGATGCAATAGGAAAATGGTTAAAAGGGTCCGCATACGTCGTCAATATAGAGTCATTTCTATGGCTGAATGCAATCAGCTCATCAGTTGCCGCATCTGACACGAACAGTGAGTCATGATGCCCTCACCCCGCAGCCACAACGGTGCCTCGGCACCGGTTGAATACGATGGCTTGCCCCCCCTCGTGCGCGCCATGGACGGCGTGCGAATCCACTAGAACCAAGTCGTCCGGGTTGAAACTAACTGCGGAAAGTCTTTTATCTTAGTTTCTGGCTNCGAATCCACTAGAACCAAGTCGTCCGGGTTGAAACTAACTGCGGAAAGTCTTTTATCTTAGTTTCTGGCTTGACGTTCCTGCGCCTTTCTCATGCATTCCCTCGCTGCTGCAAGCTGTGTGCACAGTCGGTAGGGGCTGGCTTCCAACAGCGAGATCCAGCAGCGGGTCAACGAGTGGAGTTTCTGTGTAGACCAGGGACGCCGGGGAGCAGCGGGTGGACGAATGCACTGTAGTATTTTAAACCCGTTCTGCGCAAACAAGAATATCAAGCAAATTAGACGAGTTCTGTTGGGTGTAAAGTCGCAAATACTGCACCAGCCTGCGGTTAGTTTGTTCTGTCTGGCCGTCTGCGTCCGGATGGTTGGCGGTGGTAATGTTCTGGCCAATGTTGAGCCGTTGCACGAGGCTGCGCCAGAAAGCGCTAAGCAACGTCGGATCCCTGTCGGTAATGATGCTTTTGGGGAGCCTGTGGAGCTTCCATACATGATTAATGAACAGTTNGTCGGATCCCTGTCGGTAATGATGCTTTTGGGGAGCCTGTGGAGCTTCCATACATGATTAATGAACAGTTGAGCAACTCCTTCTGCTGTGACCGTGCTCGGCAATGGAATAAAATGAGCATCTTTGCTAAGCGGGTATACCACGACATATATACTATCATGGCCTCTGACGCGTGGTAAGCCCACTATGAAATCCATGGAGATGTCCGTCTAGATCCTATCGGGAATAGGTAAGCTGAGCAAGAATCCAGGTTTGAGGGTGTTTCGCGGCATTTGCTGCTGGCATTCAGGACAAAAGATGAGGCATTCTTCGACTGAGAGGCACATCGTAGGCCACCAGAAGGACCTGGCGGCACGCTCCACCGTTGTATTGACCCTACCATGACCTGCTAAAGGATATTCATGCATTTTGCGCAGAACTTCTGTGCGTAGCGAGGT